TGATCTTTATTTTGATGTATTGCATGTTCAGATATTCATACAACAACATATTCTGGGGGCCATGAAATTTTTGTGAAAATCCTTAAAAATGCTGGCGGTGGCTGGCAACTTTTTTCAAAAACGCTTGCGGGGAAAGAGTTGTCTAATTTAAGCAGTTGTAAAGCCTACAAATCAGTTAATTTTAACCTTCAATATTATAGTAATGTAGTACCAACTGACTCTCATGTACAGCCATATTACTAATCAAAAATTACGTTTTGATATATTTACGGTAGGAAATTTACAAAATATCTTCATGGAGCATGTTCTGTACTTCTGATTTTTGGCATAACAGAAAAATGTGTAATTTTGACCCATACAATGTATTGTTGGCTATTGCTACAAATATACCCCAGCGACTTAAGACTGTTTTTGTGCTCCAGGGTTACATATTTGTCGAATGTAAAAAAAGAGCTGAGAGCCACTGTTTCACAGGAAGCACATTCCTTTTCAGTTGTTGACATTAATCTCACTGTATGTCGGTGTGTTTTGGCTTGTGTTTCAGGTGACAGAGCTGGCCACAGTCAAGAGGCCTCAGGAGAGAGCGTACGCTTTACAGCGCTGGCAGGAGGATGGCGGCGTCATGATCATAGGCTACGAGATGTACCGCAACCTCACGCAAGGACGAAACATCAAGAGCAAGAAGCTGAAGGAAACCTTTCAGAAAACGCTGGTTGATCCAGGTGAAGTTACTGCATTAGCAAAGCACTTCCGCTCACGTGATTATGAAAAACGTGGAAATATCACAAGATTGTGTTTTCCAGTCCATGTCAGATTTCTTGGTGAATATACATGTTTGTACAGTAAAAAGTTTAATTTACTAGAAAAGCTCTGCATGAAGGAAATCTGTTGTGTGTGTGTTGATCAGAATCTGTGAGAGCACTGCACACATTCAGATGATGGACATGAACCGAATGGATGATGTTTTGATGTACAGGTCCGGATTTTGTCATCTGTGACGAGGGTCACGTGCTGAAGAACGAAGCGTCTGCTGTCTCCAAAGCCATGAACTCCATCATGACTCGTCGGCGAGTGGTGCTGACAGGAACCCCACTGCAGAACAACCTGATAGAGTGTGAGTCACATGAGTGCTGGTGGTTGACCAATATGGTTTTTATTTATTTGTGTATTTATTTCTTTAGTGGCCGGCAACTTGAGAGTTCAGTAGGCAATAAAAAAATTAAAAACTATTGGATGTGGTTATCAGCCAATGCCATAATCTTAAAATTCCCAAATATCAGCTAACATATTGGTAGAGTATTAGTTATTAAATACTAGTGCTGTCAAACGATTAATCGCATCCAAAATAAAAGTTTTTGTTTACATAATATGTGACCCTGCAGCACAAAAGCAGCCTTAACTCGCTAGGGTATATTTGTAGCAATAGCCAACAATACATTGTATGGGTCAAAACTATAAATTTTTCTTTTATGCCAAAAATCATTAGGACATTAAGTAAAGATCATGTTCCATGAAGATATTTTGTAAATCTCCTACCGTAAATATATTAAAACTTAATTTTTTGTCCTCTCAACACTGTGCTCAACTGGCTCAATGAGTTTGAGAAGTGGCAAGAAGGCCTGAAGGACGAGGAGAGTTTAGAGGTAGAGTTTTGGTATTGTAACACGTAGATCTTCCTATTACTCATTCCCATCGTTTATTATTCACAAGGGTGCATTTGAATTGCATCATGAATATTACAAATAAAGCGGAATTTATTTTGAAGTGACCATTATTGCACGTAATCTGTGTACTTCAGATAAGTAAAATGGGGGGAAAATGTGTCATGCTTGCATACTGTGGCATTATCATTCATTAGTGCATCATGTGCACATTCCTAATTTAATTATAAATTAAACTTGGTACTTTTACTCTTAATACATATGTGACCCTAGACCACAAAACCAGTCTTAAGTGTCAATTTTTCAAAATTGAGATTTATACAACATCTGAAAGCAGAAATGTACCCTTATGACTGGTTTTGTGGTCAAGGGTCACATATATGTTTGTGTACTGTGTATATTTATTATGTTTATATAAAAGCACACACAGTATATATTTTGAAAATATTTAAATGTATATATTTATATTCATATAATTTATATTATATATAAATATATTGAATATATAAACAACAAAAAACCTTCGATTGTTTTGGTTATTTTCTATGAGTTTGTGGATATGCTCGGCCCTGGCAGCTTTTAAAGCCTGTCTATAGCTGGACATACTGTTTTTCCACGCAATTCTAAAAACTTCCAAGTTAGTTTTTCTCCATTTGCGCTCAAGACTATTAATAGTTTATAGACAGAGCCTCCAACTGGCTCTAAGCATTCAGTGCTGCTTGATTCCCAGAATCAGTCCGATTTCAATCAGATCTGGAGTATGCTTCAAGTTAGGGCTGTGCAATTAATCGAAAAACAATTTCGATATCGATTTTGGCCTCCAACGATTATGAAAATACAATAATCGAGATAAAACGATTATTACGCCCCCTTTTCCAGCGGTGCACTTTCGTTCCTCCATACAAGCCCAATTTCACGTGCAAATCAGTAAAATCATGTAACGTGACTTTTGCAAAATGGGACGTGCTTGATTTATGTAAGAATATGTATTCATGTTTTTAAAAGCGTGAAAGAGACCTTGCGTTGCTCCTCAGGAAGATATATGCGCTCAGAGACGGAGCAGAACACGGACATGTAGCTGATTAGGGCTGTGCAATTAATCGAAAAACAGTTTCGATTTCGATTTTGACCTCCAACGATTATGAAAATACAACGATCGAGATAAAACGAGTATTGCGCCCATTCCACCCCCTTTCCAGCGCTGCGCCTTCGTTCCTCCATAAAAGCTCAATTTCACAGGCAAATCAGTAAAGTCATGTAACGTGACTTTTGCAAAATGGGACGTGCTTGATTTATGTAAGAATATGTATTCATGTTTTTAAAAGCGTGAAAGAGACCTTGCGTTGCTCCTCAGGAAGATATATGCGCTCAGAGACGGAACTGAACACGGACATGTAAAGTCATCTTTTAGCTCAAGGTGCGCGCCTCAACAGTGAAATACACACAAAATGTGTCAAAATGCGGCGCTTGGTGATTATTCATGTATACCTTCATTGGTCATGTAATAAATGAACGTAAAGTGTTGAGAATGAAAATACGCGTGTAACGGTAAATTGGATCCGTGCGGCTCTTAAAGTGACAGCGGGCTATTTTCCTGCTGCGACTTTGTGCTTAATATTAATCAAACAACAAAAGACAAATTCAAAATCACACACTGCTCTTGAGTGAAGGATTTTTGTAGCTTTAATAAGAAACAAAAAAGTTTAAATCTTATAGTGAAGATTATGCTGTTTTAATTTACATTTGATTATTCATTTTTGTAGTAGGCTGTAAACTGCTTGAGACTTGCATAAAAAAAACATTAAAGCACAGTTTGTTTAATTTTTATCTTTTTATTCTATTGTATTTGTCCTTTGCTTTTTTATTACTGACAGTTTAATTATTTTCAATAATTTTGAGGACTTTTTGTTTGAAATTCCTCTGGTCTCTACAATGTAGATGTCATTGCAACCTTATTTACAGGAAATATGTATTTGATATGTATCACTATCTTTAAATAAATCACTCATATAAAGTTTTGGTCATATGGCCCCCTCATAATCGTGTTAAATAACCGTGATTACAATATTGACCAAAATAATCGTGATTATGATTTTTGCCATAATCGAGCAGCCCTACTTCAAGTAGACTATGGCCAGTTAAGGGTTATGCCACGTCATTCTGAATGTGGAAAGACATCTTTAAACCCTTGAATTATGACAAGAATAATTTTCGGGTGTGAAATTGCCATTTTCTCCCCTCAGATCACTGTATGGTGAACTTCATCAAGGAGAACCTGCTGGGGTCAGTGAAAGAGTTCAGAAACCGCTTCATCAACCCCATCCAGAACGGCCAGTGCGCCGACTCCACGCTGACTGATGTCCGAGTCATGAAGAAGCGCGCACACATCCTCTACGAGATGCTGGCAGGATGCGTCCAAGTAAGCCAGAAGACCACAGCCAGTGTATTCAGTGCTAGTTCATAATGAACAGACTTGTAAAAATGTTGTCTTCCACAGAGAAGAGACTATACTGCCCTTACAAAATTCCTGCCGCCAAAACACGAGTATGTGTTAGCGATACGTTTAACACCCATTCAGTGCAAGCTTTACCGATACTACCTGGATCACTTCACAGGTACGACTCTGCATTATATTAATTTCAGTTTATTTCGCATTTGCTCTGTTAAAGATCTAATTTTTTCCTAATTATTTTCATAATATACAGTGGTGGCCAAAATGATTAGAACACTAGTATTCTCAGCAGCTAAAAATGGTTTTAAGTCAGTTATTTCTATCTTTTGCTGTAGTGTTTCAGTAGGAAATATCAGTTTACATTTCCAAGCATTCATTTTGCCATTAATTGTAATAATCCAGTGAGATCTTCGTCTGAGAACAGATGGTGCTGCACACAGAGATCTGATCTGATCATCATCCAGTCTGTCTGGAGTGATATGAAGAAACCGAACAAACTGAGACAGACTCAGTACAGAAGAACTGTGGCAGCGTCTCCAAGTAGGGATGTGCGATATGGCGATTTTTGATCGTGGACGATAAAAATGTCTCCACGATCTGCTTTTGAAGAAATATCACAGTATTGTGCTACAGCGCCACATACATTCACATCAGTGTTAACTCAGCAGTCGAGTTGCTCTCACGGGACACTGCATTTATTCACAATCACAAAAGTACATTATTTGCATGTGCTTTAAAGCCTTGCCGGTTATACATTTCATTCACGCGCTCTTCTGACATGCACTTTTTCTGAGCGCATGCACCCGAAGCGCGCACACTAAAAACCCTGTCAAACAGCGCCTGATTAAGGTACTGGACTAAGTTATCTTTTGCGCTAATACTGTTAAAACGCACAAGGCTTACATATAGACTTGGTTATGCCTAAAATAAAAGTAAACAAGAAACGGATGCGTGTCAGTATATTAGATGCGTGCAGCTCTTAAAGGGACAGTACTAAACATGCTGCCGACTGTCATTAAAGGGATAGTTCACCCTAAAAATTGATTTCTGTCATTATTTACTCACTCACATGTTGTGCCAAACCTGTATTAATTTCTTTCTTGTGCTGAACACAAAAGAAGATATTTTGAAGAATGTGGGTAACCAAACATTTGCTTGTCCACATTGACTTGAAAAAAATACTATGGACTATTCCATGTTCTTCAAAATAGCATTTATGTTCAACAGAAGAAAGAAACTCATTCAGGTTTAAAACAACTTTTGAGTGAGTGAATGATGGTATAAAAATAAAACACTTTATTTTTGGGTGAACTATTCCTTTAATGTTAATAAAACAAGAAAACACAAAGACAAAAATAACTCGCTACTCTTGACTGAAAAACTTTAAGACCGTTGCTTTAATAGGAATCAATCTATACCTATAGTGTTTTATTTTTATATTTGTTCATTCAATTTCTTGAATGCTCCTGCTAAATACACCTATCGTACTTGAAAATAAAACACTGTTTGTTTTATTTGTATATTATGTGTATTTGTAATGTGTATCTTTGTTCTTATTTTTTAATAACAAAGATAAAATAATGACAAAGACTTTTATCTTCGCCCACTTTGGCCTAAATATCCGCCATTCTTTTTTTATATTTTGTTATACCTTGAAAGGCTTTGTCTTTATAATAGGGGAATTAGTTTGGCTGTAATGCTCAGACAACTTGCAAAATAGAAAATCCAACATGACACAGAATTGTGATAAAATCGAGATATTTATTAAAAAAAACGTGATATGATATTTTTGCCATATCACCCACCAATATCTCCAAGATGCTTCAAGAAACCTACCTGCAAAGCTACAGTACTGTTAAAAGTTTTAGGCACTTGTGTAAAAATGCTGTAAAATGAGGATGCAGTCAAAAATAATGTATAATAGATTTTCTTTATCAATTAACTTCTATTAACTAAATGAAATCAACATTTAGTGTGACCATCCTCTCTGCGTTTAAAGCAGCTTTTGCCCTCGATACACTTGCGCATAGTTTTTCAGGGAGCTTTGCAGGTAGCTTTCTTGAAGCGTCTTTGAGACACAGTTCTTCTGGATTGAGTCTGTCTCAGTTTGTTCTGTTTCTTCATGTCACTCCAGACAGACTGATGATGATCAGATCACATCTCTGTGTGGAGCACTGGCTGTTGTAATGCTTGGAAATGTAAACTGATATTTCCTACAGACACATTACAGCAAAAGATAGAAATAACGGACTTAAAACCATTTTTTTAGCTGCTGAAAATACTAGCGTTCTAATAATTTTGGCCACCACTGTATGTCTCTGGATTTAACAGGGCAAATAGACATAAGGCCTTGTGAACAGTAAAAAAAAAAATAGTTTTGATGATTAAAATCCATCTATTTTCTGCTTGATGTAAAATATTCCTGAGTGAAACTGAATATTAAGTTAAATGCTTTGTCATGTTGAGTTTTAATTGTCAAATATGCGATTCAAATCATGCAGTCTCTCAGCTTAAACCCTGAAATAGGAGTTTGGAGATTTGAGTCTCCTGAGGTGAAACCAGTCTTTCCCCCCTGCTCTCATTTTTTCAATTAAGTGGTTTAGCGGTGTTATAGCTCAGGCCGCGATTGTTCTGAAGCAGCTCCGCAGCTGGGAGAGGAAGAATGGCAGCTGGCACCAGGCCGCGGGGCGATCTGAACCAATTCCCACATCCTTATCTAATGAAGAGCTTTAGGAGAATTTCCCAGCCAGAGGCTCATTAGGCCGGCTTTCCTCTGAGCCCGCTGCTATGCTACTGCGCTGCTGTTGTGACTGTAGGTGCATACCCCCAGAGACCACCACCAGACACTGTCTTTGCCTTAATGCTTGCACTTTTGTCCTGGTGGCCTGCTTTACCCAAACCCTGATCCAATTTCATGCTGCATTGAGGTGAACTCGCATTCGGCATTTTAGACGGTGTTAAAGCTGCTGTGACTTTTTTTAAATTCAAATACTATCCCAGCTTTGTATGCAGCGATGACTGTTCTCTGTCCCTGTTTATACCTGGTATTAGGATGTGTAAATATGAAGAGGAAAAAATAAAACGGCTAGATTTATAAATAACATATCATAGATAGTTTTGAAAAAGAAACTTTTTAAAGGGATATAGTTTCTTCAAATGCTACAATATTAGTCACTAATGTTGTGCATTGCTGCGATCACCTAGACTTTGTTGATGTGCAGCATGTAATGCATCCAAAAATATGCATTCTAACTCCACTTTACTGCAATCCTGCAGATTTAAAGTTTGCGTTCTTTATAATTTAAGAGGTCACACAGTCACAAGTCTTCACATGACTTTATAAATTCACAGGTCAGAGCTGAATTTAATTTTGAACTTTGGAAAGCAGCAACATTCATATGAGCTTGCATTTCCTGTCTCACACATTTAGATGAATGGAAAGCGTGGTGTGACTGATTGAGCTGAATCAGAAGAGTGAATGAGCAACAGTAAACTGAAGTGCTTTGCTAGCGGCTTAACTAAACTTAAAGGGTTAGTTCACCCAAAAATTAGCCCATGATTTACTCACCCTCAAGGCATCTTAGGTGTATATGGCTTCAATGAATCCAATCAGAGTTATATAAAAAAAATGTCTTTGATCTTCCAAGCTTTCAAATGGCACTCAGCGGGTGTTACAGTGCATCAGTCCAAAAGAAGTGAAATTAAGCGCATACATCCATAGTAAAACGTGCCTCACACGGCTCCAGGGGGTGAATAAAGAGCATTTGATTGAACAGAAAAACTGATGAGAAGCTGACGTACAAATCGTTGATCCACATTGGTGGTAGAGAGGCTGTACATTTTGAATGCATATAAATGCACATTTTGGCATTGTTTTGAAACACCAGCTTATAGATAAAGTTAAGACTAGTGTAATCATACTAGCCGCAAAAAAAAACTTTTGATTTCTAGGGACTTTAAACAGACAGCTAAAGCACAACAAATTTACAACATTGTATTACAGTAGCATTCTCAATATAATGTTATGACAGATTGGCATTGCATATTTTCCACTGTGTTTTCATTATCAAAGTGATTCCAGTCATTACTACACGCCATAGCTTCAGTCCTCTAGTCTTGGTGGCATAACGTTCTAATGGTAACCAATCAGACCTCAAGATAACACACAAAATGCCACCATAACTGATCAGAATTATTAGATTTATTTTTAAGTCACGCAATCATTGCTTTCATGATGGATTATCACTGTTGCTCAGGTACTATCTCTTCAGGACCCGTGCAATATTCCATATCCTAGTGTTTCTTTTTAAACATAGCCAGTCATTTGTTTTGCAAATCTGCTTGGTGTACTGCGAAAATGACACGCAGCAGTTTCAAGATGTTTGTAGCAAAGCCTTTCTTGCAAAGGCATGTTTTTTTGTTGTTGTGGTTTTTGAGTGGAGGATTTTGTTGCTTTGCTTTTCTAAGCATCAGTGTGAAAACAGGCAGCGTGAGCCTCGCACTGTGCTAAGAGCTTGTTTACCTGCTCAGTTAATCCTCTGGGCTAATCTGAATTCAGGATTTAGGCCGCTGCGGTGCACTGTGCTCTGGCACGCTTATGGAGCTTATAATATGACAAAACTATTTGAATTGTGTAAATTTGAATTATTGACTAGTGTCATTTAACAAAACTGAATTTTATGTGGCATTTAACATAGTTCTGAATTAGATTTTTTTTTACTTGAATATTTAACATTTGAAATTTAACACAATTGAATTTTTTATGGCAGTTTTTTTTAATAGACATGTATTTTCAAACAGCGGATTTTTTGTTCTGAATTGTTAAGCCTCGTACACACTGGGACGATTATCGTGCGTGCTTATTGCCGGCGTTTTTCGACGCGTCTTTTGTGTTCATACCCAAGCGATTTTCGCAGGCGATGAGCCGAGTGAACGTGCAAATTCACTCCCTGACATTAGATGGCGCTTAATGAAAAACAGAAATACCCCGGTACACATCGAATCCTATTTGATCTGCAATTCCTCTCCATAACAACTCCCTCTTATCAAGATTTTTGTAGTCGCTGTCGCGTTTGTCATAAAGCCCTTTGTGTTCAGACACCAATGAGACCAGCAGCTCTACATTCATCTTGCCTCGATGCATCTTCTTGGTCTACTTACTTCCTCTTCGTCGTTAGGTATCAATGTGTGCTCGGCAAGACCGTTTTGTGCTTGAGCGCCACCAAGTCGTGTTTTACTGTAACTTCAGCAGCTCCAGGCACGTGAACAAAAGCGCCAATCTCATTGGTCGGCCAGTTTTTAACGCGGCGCGTCAAACCAAAAAAACAAACCCGAGGTGTTTTAAAAAAAATGACACTTTTACGCCTCACGTTTTGCGCGTCGGTGTGCACACTCACATTGGCGCCCTTTGTTTAGTCACGAGGCGTTAAACGTCGCGGCGCGTCAAACCAAAAAAACAAACCCGAGGTGTTTTAAAAAAAATGACACTTTTACGCCTCACGTTTTGCGCGTCGGTGTGCACACTCACATTGGCGCCCTTTGTTTAGTCACAAGGTGTTAAACGTTGGCGATAAACGCGCGCGATATTCGTCCCGGTGTGAACAAGCCTTTAGACTGCAAATATACAGTTTTTAAAAATGTAATTTTGAATGTTGAATTTGATGTTCCGAATTTCTTGAAAACTTGAAGCTGTATTTTTAAAAACTGGATATTTGCAGTCTAACAATTCAGAACAAAAATCCGCTGTTTGAAAATGCGTCTATTAAAAAAAAACTGCCATAAAAAATTGTTACATTTCATGTTAAATATTCAAGTAAAAAAAAAATCTAATTCAGAACTATGTTAAATGCCACTTAAAATTCAGTTTTGTTAAATGACACTTATCAATAATTCAAATTTACACAATTCAAATTCAAATAGTTTTGTCATATTATAAGCTCCATACACACTGGGCTAGAAACCGTGCCAGCGGCGGGCGCTAAACGTCTCCCTCTGAACAGGTGTCGGTTCTGCCTTGGAGAGTGGAAGAGGCCGCGCTGGGACCAAACTCTTCCAGGATTTCCAGATGCTCAGCAGAATCTGGACCCATCCGTGGTGCCTCCAGCTGGACTATATCAGTAAAGAAAACAAGGTGAGGGAATAAAGACAGCGGACTGCAGACTTCTCTGAAAACACAACCCCGGGGGAATTTACTTGAGGGGGAAGTTTCCCTGAAGTCATCGCTTTCTGTGCACATATGGAATGCCAGACACCAAAAAAAAATTACTAGGGAGCCAAATGATGTTCTTTACTTGCCAAAGAAGCACTTTTGTACATGCTCAGGTTCACATTATCTATCCCAAGTTTATGTTAAGCCCTAGAAAACTAGACAATCCGTTAGATTTACAGCATTTAAAGGGATTGTTCACCCAAACATGAAGGCTTTGGTTACCTTCAGAAATACAGATTAATATATTTTTAATGAAACCTTTGTCCCTCTATTCAAATGCCAGGTAACCAAAATGGTCATAAATCTGCCCTAAACGAATCCATCTGAAAAGAGACCGTTGCTTTATATGATGTAAATAAAAACTTAACCTATTCTTCTAAATAATGATTGACAGACACACATTTGGCAAATACAGAAGCTCAAGCGTGCATGTGTGATGCACGAGATCTATTGAGGATTGTTCTAACATATGCGAGTTGCTAAATGTATGTGTGTTTAAAAGCCTAAATTAAATCTGTTTATCATATTGAGCTCTTCGTGAGACTTGCATTAAACTGCTCAATTCATACGGATTTATACGCTTTTTTGACCGTTTTGGATGTTCTAGATTTTGTTTACTTAGACTTTCAGTGGAGGTTTCATTTAAAAATATTGGTAACACTTGAGTTATTTAGACCTATTCTCACTAATAACTAGTTGCTTATTAGAATGTATATTACTAGCATATTGGCTGTTTATTAGTGCATATAGCGCACATATTAATGCCTTATTTCGCATGACCATATTCTAGATCCTTTAATCCACCCCATACCTAAACCTAACAACTACCTTACTAACTATTAATAAACAGCAAATTGGAAGTTTAAAATTGGAAGGCAAAAGTCATAGTTATTAGTGAATATCTGTTCCCTAATCTAAAGTGTTGCCATAATATCTTAACTTGTGTTTTGACGATGAACCAAAGTCATACAGGTTTGGAATGAGGTAAGGTTGATTAAATGATGACAGGATTTTCATTTTTGGTTGAACAATTGCTGTAACTCTGCTGATTAGAATAGCAGCACCTTAACTGTTGTTTTTTTCTCTTCACACTAACAGGGATACTTCGATGAGGACAGTATGGAGGAGTTCATAGCCTCAGAGACAGAGGAGTCCTCCATGAGTTTGACCTCTGAAGATGAGAAGCCCAAAAGGTTTGAGATGAGTCTTAACTCTTCCTTGGTAACCGTCCTGTTTGCTGGCTGTGTAATGACTGATCTGGTTCTCTAAACCCCCGTACAGAAAGAAGCAGCGAGGCAAAGGGAAAGAGCAGAGCTCAGACAAGTCCGACAGCGATGACCTGGAAGTGATTAAGGAGTGGAACACCAGCTCTCGTGGAGGAAACCCTGAGGGGCGCAACAGAGCAGAGCCTGTGGAAGAGGGTATGACTGAGCTTACTGACAAAATCATCTCTTCAGATAGGAGTTAAGCAGTGCTGTTGTTACTAATAATGGTTAAAGGGATAGTTCACCTGAACATGAATATTCTGACATCATTGACTCGCCCTCAAGTTGTTCCAAATCTGTGTGAAAGAAGATATTTTAAAGAATGTTGGTAACCAAACAGTTGACAGTAGTGGTCGACCGATATTGGGTTTTTGCAGACATCTCGAAAAGCAGGGTGGCCGATATAAAGCCGATATAATTTTATTTATTTTAATTAATATGTAAGAAATTTTAAATCGTTTGAAAATGGATTAAAAAATACATGTGTTAAATAAACATACTTATACTTCAGATGAACAGTATTTTTCACAAATATATAAATATATAATTAAAATATAATTAAAAAGAAAGTAAACACTGTAACCAACAGGGCACTCTGTATTCTGGGAAGTTTGTGTGCATTGGGAATCATATTTTTTTAAAATAAAGCCAAGGTAAACACTAATTTTACATACAGCAGCACACAGTGAAAATGAAATGAATATGACAGTGGGCAAATGCATAAAGCGCAGCATAGTTTGAAATCAAAAGCACACTTCACAAGATCTCACAGCTGGATTTGACTAAGTTTGTGAAATTAGATGTTTATTAGTCATTCAAAGATTTGTTTAAATTATATAAATGCGTATTTGCTGAATGCTGACGGCAAACAAGAAAGTATTATAATGTTTGCCTTTATATTACTAATAATATAAAAGCGTTTGTTATAATAATTTTGTATACATTTTAATTCCTTTGTTTAACCATTCTATCTGATTATTAGACAGACTTCTATCTGTATTAGACAGAACTGTTAATGACAACAGCGAACAAGACGGAGAATGTGAGCATCGAATGCATCGGCCAAACAGGAAAACTTATCGGCCGATGCCGATATTTGAAAAATGCCAAATATCGGCCGATATATCGGTCGACCACTAGTTGACAGTAGCCATTGACTTCTATAATATTTTTCTATACTGTGGAAGTCCGTGGGGACCAGCAACTGTTTGGTTACCAACATTCTTCAAAATATCTTCTTTTGTGTTCAGCACAAGAAAGAATATCTGAGGTTGAGTAAATGATGACATTGTTGTGTGGACTGTCCTTTCAACAGAAAAAAAAAATCCTTTAATTGACCGATCCTGATGACCAAGATTATATTTTTTACAGTTAGTTTTATAACAGTTCACACACATGCAAAATTCTATAAATTAACACTTACTTTACACACTATTTGCAATGTACTAATACACTAATAATACACTATTTAATATTTCACGTTTAAAAAAAATGATTACATTTTTTAAAAATTATTCATTAGAATGATGTTGGTAGATTTTGGACCTGACACTAGATGCAGTAAAACAACTTTTTGTTGAAAACTACGGATGCATTGCACGTCTTCTGCAAATATGGCCACAACAGTGTGTATCCATGATGTTTTCCTCAGTTCGGCCGTCGAACTCAGGTCCTGGCAGCCCATCACCTGACTGGTACAAAGAGTTTGTGACCGAGCCAGATTCTGAGGTGCTGGAGCATTCTGGGAAAATGGTGCTTCTTTTTGAGATCCTCCGCATGGCAGAAGAATTGGAAGAAAAAGTGTGAGTTAAGTTTTGTCAGAGTAGCATCTCCGAATTCGTTGTCTTCCATGTCATTCGGTCATGTGTGTGACGGTCACGTGTCCTGTGTGCTCAGGTTGGTGTTCAGCCAGTCTCTCATTTCTCTGGACCTCATTGAAGATTTCCTGGAGTTGGCAGGCAAAGCTAAAGAGGAAGGCAAGCTTTCGCCGTACAAAGGTCAGGCACTTTTAGCAATGTTTTCCCTCAGCCTTAATCACGGTGCTTTGTAATCGGTTTGATTTTCTGTGCTAGAGATTTCTGCCACTCAGAGTCTGCATGCTTTTCATACTTGATATATTCTTTTACAAATAATAACCAGGTATTGTATTCTTTGTATTGTGCAGTGCATCATTTTAAATTCTTACTATGTCAGCATGAAATCAAAACTCTAGTGCTGTCAACCGATTAATCGCGATTAATCGCATCCAAAATATATATACATGCATATAATAAATATACACAGAACACACACATACATTATGCAAACGTAAACATTTATTTTGTAAGCGTTTAATCGTGATTAATTGTTTGACAGCACTACAAAACTCACACTAGTTGTTGTAGGTTTTTATTGTACGCAATGAGTTAGTCCATACTTCCAAAGAGAAAAACATGTTCAAAACCTTTTGAAATGTAATGACTTGTTCCGCGTATTATACGACTTTCTCTTTTGTCTGTCTTGACTTCATATGGTTTGTACGGTGGCCCATGCTGTGAGTGTTTTGTTGAATGTTTATGGCCAGTCCTGTAGTTTTTATTTGAATTATATTTGCTGTAAATTTAACATTCATTTCAGCAAATAAGCGAGCACCGATCCAGTGAGTGCAAACTGTGGTTACATGCGAAAACTCATCTGATATTTGCGCACACATCTGACACAGATCTGGGTTAAGTGCCCGCAGAAACACACAAATATGCGCATGTAAACATAAAGCCTCTGGAATAAGGTCACGGTCCTAATTAAACCCTCGCAGCTGTTTTTACTTTCGTTTTGAAAATGATTAGGCCTTTTTTATTTTGCAAAAAAATGTTCGCTTAAGGCTTTGCAATTTGTAATGAAAAGATCACAGAGGAATAATTGGAAACATATTGAAATGTTAGTTATGAACACGAGTGTGGGAGGCCACAATATTAATTGCTGAACATGAGTTCTTTGGGCTTTGCCACCTATGTAGGGTACATGCTTTCCCCTGAGCTCTCCATGTACAGCAAACCCTACCAGGGCTGACAGCTGCATTAAATATTTGCTAGAAACTGATTGTTGACTGGCTGTGCTGATGTTTTTCTCCAGGTGAGGGCAAGTGGTTCAGAAACATTGACTACTATCGTCTAGATGGTTCAACGAATGCCGTGACCAGGAAGAAATGGGCAGAGGACTTCAATGACACCAGTAATGTTCGGTAAAGGCACTTTTCCCTCTAGAGTGCAGGGCTCCAGACTCATTCTTCCCACTGGTCGCTCGTTTGCGACTAACTTTATCAGTTGGTTGAGCACAAAACCAGTCTTAAGTAGCACAGGTATATTTGTAGCAATAGCCAAAAATACATTGTATGGGTCAAAATTATAGATTTTTCTTTTATGCCAAAATTCATTAGGATATCAAGTAAAGATCATGTTCTATGAAGATATTTTGTAAATTTCCTACCGTAAATATATAAAAACTTCAGTTCTGTCAGGACCACTATCGTCAAAATGATAGATACTTAGCATAAAGTTTGGTTTGGCGTTATGGTTCTGTTCTGGGCAAAAACTTGAGCAGCAATAATAACCCCCCTAGGGTTAACAGAACAGAACAAGGCAGATATCATTAATGTACTTAATGATATTTAAGTGTAACACTTTATTCAAGATACGCAATTTTTTTTTATTTTTTTTTATCAACATTTAATCAATGCATGCTGATGAACTTTTATCATAGTTTATAGTTATATGGAAGCGAAAGTGGTTAACATTCAACCCATTCTTTTTCATCAGTAGTATTATATGTGATTTGAATTTTGTGAACGGGAGTTCCTCTTTTGCTGTGTTATAAGCCTCGGGCTTCAGATGCTTTCGATTTCGCGATCTTGTTGTCACGTTTTACAAGAAAAGATTATTGTCTGTTTGGCTTACGTACATCTATACAGCTTTCACTTTTTAAGACTAAAACAAAAGATGGATTCATTGTTATTCTTAATTAAAAAAGCACAACAACCATAAAACAGTAAGAGAGCCTACAATGACAAACTAGCTTACAAAACGTTTATTAACAAAACCGAATAAGATGAGGCATGGCACACACCACATGCTGTATTATATACCGACTACTAAATTACAGAACGTTTCGCAAACACTGAGGAATCAAATAAATAAATAATAAAAGAGAGCCTCCATAGCGTAACGTGAGGTAAACAGCAAAGATAACAAGCTTTTCAAAATAAAAATTAAACTTGCTGTCGGTGACAGTGCTTGCATGTTTTTTTTTTCCCCACAAGAATACCAGCATGTTCACCTTCTCTGGTTTAAGAAGCGGTCTTTTACTTTACTTTAGCATTAAAACCATCCATCGTTTCCTCAATATTCGCGTAATATTTGCTTCGCGCTCTTGTTGACCCAGCGAGTATAAACCAGGCTCAAACGAGTAGCGCGGTTTCTTTATGCTTTCAGTTTCGTTATGCGTTTGATGTTTCTCATATGCAACCGAAATGGCAGCGCTTATGAGCGACCGCACACAAAATTTAGTCGCACAGGCAGAAAAAATGGTCACAAAATATGACCATTTGGTCGCAGTCTGGAGCCCTGGAGTGTCAAACAGTGGATCCGTTTCTCGCTTTTCCATGAAAGAACTTGTGTTCTTGTTCTTCTCCTCCTCAGGGGGCGATTGTTCCTCATCTCAACCAGAGCTGGTTCTCTTGGGATCAACTTGGTAGCTGCAAACAGGGTCATAATTTTCGACGCCTCATGGAACCCATCCTACGACATTCAGAGTATTTTCAGAGTCTATCGCTTTGGCCAAGTGAAGACCGTGTTTGTCTACAGGTTTTTGGCTCAGGTGAGAAATGTAGTTTTATTTGTTGTGTTTATTACATGTAGAAATATACAGGTTTATTCACAGACAGGGCAGATCAGATCTGTAATGTTTTTTGACATGATTCTTTTCTGTAGGGAACCATGGAGGACAAGATCTATGACCGGCAGATCGCCAAACAGTCGCTGTCCTTCAGAGTTGTAGACCAACAGCAGATTGAACGCCACTTTACCATGAACGAACTGACGGAGCTGTACGCGTTTGAGCCCGACCAGCTGGACGATCCATCTGAGAAGAAGAGCAAGCGGGCCACACCCATGCTGCCCAAGGTGAAAACCGCTTCATACCACCTGCTTTTCTCTGTTTTGTCTGTCAGCAGAAAACATAGTAGTGTTTTGTTTCAATTTGTCAAGCGAAATCACATTTATTTGTATAGCACTGTTCACGATACACATAGTTTCAAAGCAGCTTTACAGAAAACACAATGTTAATTTTGACAAGATTTCAATATTCTCATGCCGTACAGTCGCATTAAGCAGATTAGAGCTGGGCGAGAATATAGTCGTAGAGTCTGGATTTGATGTGTAGTGTATCGATTACCTGCGTTCATATAGTACATTCGATCACACTTTATTTTAAGCTCCAATTCACTAACCATTAACTACAACTTTTGCCTCAAATTCCTAATTTGCTTCTTTTTAATTAATAGTTGGTAAAGTAGTTGTTAAGATTAGGTGTTGGCTAGGATTAGGGATGTAGAATATGGTCATGTGCTTTATAAGTACTAATAAACAGCCAATATGTTAATAATAGGCATGCTAATAAGCAACTAGTTAATAATTATGAATTGGTCCCTGTACTAAAGTGTTGCCTTATATTCATATTAAAAGTTGGATATATGTGACCCTGGAGCACAAAAGCAGTCTTAAGTCGCTGGGGTATATTTGTAGCAATAGCCAACAATACATTGTATGGGTCAAAATTATTGATTTTTCTTTTATGCCAAAAATCATTAGGATATTAAGTAAAGATCATGTTCCATGAAGATATTTTGTAAATTTACTACCGTAAATATCATAAACGTAATTTTTGATTAGTAATATGCATTGCTAAGAACTTCATTTCGACAACTTTAAAGGCGATTTTCTCAATATTTGTTTTTTTTTTTGCACGCTCAGATTCCAGATTTTCAAATAGTTATATCTCGGCCAAATATTGTCCTATCCTAACAAACCATACATCAATATAAAGCTTATTTATTCAGCTTTCAGATGATGCATAAATCTCAATTTCGAAAAATTGACCCTTATGACTGGTTTTGTGGTCCAGGGTCACATATAGTAGTACATCAGTACAGTACAGTTTGTTTACAAATCACTGGGCGATAATATAGTTTACGTTTTTTTTGGCAGTGTAATAATTAACCAAGTCTTTTACCATTATTATAACACCAAAACACTTAAAGAAATCATACAAGAATGATGCGACAAATACATTTACCTTGCAAGTATTAATTTTTATCTGAACATCTCTCTCACAAACACCTTTGTGTTTAAATTTCTGTGCTTCTACTGAGTCTTCATTAGTCTGTTGTAGAAGCATCACACTGTGTTCCTGTGACCTAATATTTAATTGCATTGTTGATTGATCAGCCATCGTGAGCTTAAGCACTAAGTGATCCAAGACTGCCCGTAATGAAAGAAATCTCTCTGCAAACCCAAAATCTGCCTCAAGCCTGCAGAATCACTGCTAAAGTTAAATGCTCCTGGCCTGTGTTCTGTGCACGTTACCTTTTGATGTTCACCAGGATTGAGACACTGTTATTTACTCATGCGCCTGGTTTCCGAAGCATTCAGTCTTCCCGGAGGGATTGGAGGAACAGTGCTCAGCTCTCATCTTAATAGTTCTGTCCCCTTCATCTCTGAGTCTATCTAAGCACAGGTGCGCAGTCACAGGAGAGAACCCCTGAAGATTTTACAAGACCACGTCGGCCTTTGAGTGGGTGTCCAATCTTTCACAACAGCACACAGCTGCACACTGCGACCTCCGTGACCCTTGTTTACTGAAGAGTTTTATTCTGCAGAACCGATGATGCTGGGATCCTTTAATTGGAGGCAAAGCATCCAGTACACATCCAACAGACGTGTCCAAAGCGCACAGCTGTGCAGATATTTGTCTTGTGTACCACAGAAGGTTTATATTGGGGAAGATACAGCCCCCCACATCTCTCTGCTGGAGTCCTCAATGTTTTATCATGAGCTGCTCAGTTGATGTTTGAGAAGCTTGTTCTTGATCAAGCTTTTATTCGGAGATGTAGCCCTACCTTTGTATGCAGTAGATGACCACATTTGGCCATATGTGCACCAGAATGTAGCAAGTCAGCTGTTATGGATGGAATCTGCTGCCTGTAATCGTCTGAAGATGAGTCAGTCATCCCTCAAAGCCTGCAGTCATATCTCGATTTCTCACAGTAACCTCGCCAAGTTTATGGAACACAGGAAATATTTCTAAACCTGGCAGACATCTGCCCATCGCTCTTTCCTTACTTTGTGTAATGTGTCTGCATCTTGATCATTTTTTTTTCTTATAAAGCCAAAAGAATATGACACTTGCACTTGTTTTGTAAACTCAAATCTCATGTTCTTTGGGCAGAGTACTTAGATGTGTTGAACTATTAGCGAACATAAATAAAATAGCTAGTCTTCAATGCCTTAATTTTATGTACACCCCTAAATTTTTACAGTTAAAATCGTACAACAAAAATAATTTTGAAAATATTCAATTTATTGTAGGAAAGAAATGACTGCTGTCAAATCGATTAATTGTGATTAATTGATTGCATGTATGTGTGTGTACTGTGTATATATAAACATACAGACATGTATATATTAAAGAAATATATGTATTATATGCAGTGACGTGAAAAGGTTTTTCCCCCTACCTGTTTCTTTTTCTTTTTTGCATATCTGTCACACTTAAAAGATTCAGATCATCAAACAAATTTTAATATTACACAAAGATAATGCAAGTAAATACAAAATGCAG